AACTCGACTCCAATTTAACCACAGATTTGTCCTCTTTCTGCTCTTTAGTGATCTCTCTATCGACAGCCTTATAAACAGCATTTGCTTCCTCTTCGAAGCGATCGAGTCGTTTGCGAAGCTCTTTGAGATCGTCGTCGTAATCGGCTTTAATCCAAAACTCGCCGTTGGATTCAATGCGCTCCTCATCGATGACACCCTCCAGTGCTTTCGACAACTTCGACAGTTCAGCGCAAATGACTCGTAGTTTGTCCGAAAAGTTTTGCTTCATTGCCAGACACTCGTCGCTCTCGTCTCGAATCAAACAATTCTCAAAATTGGGTAATATTTTAGTCATTAAATAAATGCGATAACAGTCTTGAAGTGTAGCCCTTTTGGAGTGAAGTTTCTTGTAAATGCGGGACAAATCGGGCACTTTCTTCAGGTATATTTCGCTCAAGTCTTGACGAATGTCGTAATTTTTAACGAAATACTCAATGATATCGAGTCTCTCCTCTAAAACACGATTAAATAGTTTGTAATTTTGTAAAAATAGGCTTAAATTCGGGTAAAATACCGATTTTGTTAATATCAGTCAAAGGCTGTCGAATGAGTTGAGCCAATAATCTCTGGCCTGAAAGTGTGCGGCAATTGTTGAGCACTTGAAATAAGGTTCTATTGGTCTTATTAGTCATGGAATCGTTGACAGCGTTAGGAAACAAATCCAATGAATGGACAGCCGTTGCGTCCAATTTGACAAATTGTCTTAAATTAATTTCATTGAATTGAAAACTTTCATAATTAGAGTCATCGCCTAAAAGATTGAGATAATCCAAGACACCAGCGATCGCTTCTTTTGAGAGCCACTTCTGCTCTAACATCGCTGTCGACAGAAAAAACAAAATTAAAATCAAATACAAATCAAATTAAAGACAGAAAATGTTTACAATTGATAGTGATTTCTTTGTTATCACTTTTATTCAAGAGTTTGTCTAAATCTGATTCCAGATTCGATGCGTTCAACGAACTCTTCTTCACTTCTGTGACTAGAATTCTGTTATTATCTAAAATTGTGGTCAACTTCTTGGCCGTCGACTCTTGTTTGTCGTGAACACAAATGAGACACTCTTTGGGACTAATTTGCACCAAAAGGCTCTCCAAATGAGACAAATACT